AGATTACCTTGAATTGCAATTAATCGGAAATAAAGAGGGGATTATACTGTAACAAATAAGGGTTGAAAGCTGGCTTTGCATTACGTAGAAACCTTACATTTTATCGAATCACCAATTAAAATATGGCTTCGTTTTACGTATACGATTTGTATCACTTGTGGCTGTTTACTTTGTTGCGATCAATAAAGATGAATAAGTAGTATAATTAAAAAAAACTTTTGACCAACTATGTATTACAGTGGGATTCTTAAAAATGAATCAAATGGGTCAAAATTTGAAAGCTCAACCTACTAGATGTTGAAGAGGTAGAGCTGTTTCTAATTCCATCACGTCTCGATTAAAACTCAATGGTATGACATTACTAGCGAATTACACTCCCTTTACTCAGGTGCGTTTTGATGACTTTTTTAATTTATAATATTATTACGTTTTAACGTTTAGTATAGATTTTTCAGAGATGAGATATTTTCATGCTGTAAAAAGTACTCTATATGTTGATCCAGATAACAGCATTATACAAAATTTCATCAAAATCTGTCCAGTGGCTTTCTCGTGATACGTTCCCAGACAGACAGACAAAAATTCTAAAAAACTATAGAATCGATCTCTGTATAATATAATATGACTGAATGAATCTGATAATAATGTCTATTTCAAAAAGATTTTTCCAAGAATATTTAATGTACAGATTCGACTCGGTTATAATTTAGTATACGTATAAGTAGATATACAGACAGCGCTTCCTTTCGTCAAATCTTATTACAAACTAGCGACTCACTCTCGCTTCGTTCGGGTTCGCCTCTAGCTTGATTCCCCTTACAACTTTTATTATATAAAAAGTATCCTATGTCCTCTCCAGGGTCTCAAACTATCTTCTTACCAAATTTCATCTAAATCATTTCAGTAGATCCAGAGATTACGCACTACAACATCACAAATTCACAATCTCAGAAACTCACAAACTTTACCTCTTTATAATATAAGTATAGATAGTAGCTTATGTATCCATAGTCTATCTGTGAGCTAAACAACAAAATTCTCAAATATTCTCATCTGGATTTCACATACTTATAAAGTTTTAATAAGATACGACGATTATGAATAGCTTATACGTACGAGTAACATATTAACTAGCAACATGGATTGCTATATGGATTGAGTTTTTTTTTCTGAAGTTCGGGACTAATGCCTTTACGAACGTCACCTAAGTTTAAGGGATCCCCTAAGCATGGTTAGGGGGCTGTTAGGGGACAGTTTCTGTTTCACCGACAGTTAGGGGTCATCTAAATGTTAAAATGCCATCTAAATGTAGGTTCTAGTAATACGCGCTCTGACGATGCTAAAACGAAATTTAATTTAGGGGCTAGTTTATGGGAACTTTTAAGCTAGGGATCCCATACGTAGGTGGTAGCTTAATGCCCGATTTCACCAACAACCCACAAGCTACCACCTACGTATGTGAACCCTAGCTTAAAACTTGCCCTAAACTAGCCCCTAAATTAAATTTCGTTTTACCGTCGTCTTTAAGCCCATATTTCGAGCACCTAAATTTAGGGGGACTTTTAATATTTAGGTGACCCCTAACTGTCGGTAAAACAGAATCTGTCTCCTAACAGTGACGTTGGTGAAATCGGGCATAAGTCTTTTCTCTCTGATCTTTCCAGTAGTTGACTCATAACGTCCAATAAAACATTGCAATAATTATAAGAGGAATAAATTTTATTTCGAACCCGATCGAAGCGAGGGTGAGGCGCTTGTAATATTATAAATACAAAAGGCTGTTAGAGATGCACCCAAATGAAGGGAGATAAGTCGCTAGTTCTTTTTTTGTATATTGATAAGAATATTTTTTATGTGTATTCACTGGATAACGCTTTCGACTGTACTTTTACATCCGCTATGTTAAAAAAGTGCTTCTTATAACTTATAGACAATAATTATCGTGATTATAGAATAAAACATTTTTAAAGGTCGCTTTGATAAACAAGTTAATATATATGTATTTTATTATCGCGAGTTTCAAATGCGCATTGAATATATATTTCCACTATTACATAAACAATTTATGTGCAGTTTACATATTAACCAGTTTTTAATTGCTACTTTTCATAGAAATAAAGGTTTTTGTACGGTCTTTATATAAAAATTGTATATTTTGAGGAAAATGAGTATGCCGCCTCTATGTGTAGAGGTGTGGTGCGGTGCCTTTCAGGAAACCGCAAGCGCTTAATAGTACTTTTTAATTCTTATTTATGACAGACAGATAGATAACTCTTTTTTATATAGTTTTATATCAATAAATTGTAATATAGCGTAATACTAACGTTAGCTGTTCGGTGCTGGCCGGTGTATGGCGTCCCTCGTCCCGCGCACTTCCCAGCACCCCATTGGGATCACTCATGCAACACAATATTAAACCACTTCTCACAAAAATACCCGCCACCTAGCCACGACTATAACATAATTGGTAAAACACAAATTTATTTATAACAGGAATGTGGATTATCAATACGCGAGGCGCGCGCGACCGGCCGCCATCATAATTTGAGGGGTTATTTCGCGCGCGCGCCAAACGATGTGTCTGTGTTGCCATTTGTAAATGTTTACCCTTATTTATAGGAAATTAAATGTAACACAAAAATGAAATGATTTTATATTTTTGGATACTCATTGTTAGTTCATGGTTATATTAATCTTAAGACTGTTTTATTTCATATGTTATACTAGCTGCAAATACTTTCGTAATCATGTCCAAGAAAGAGAAAATACTGATCATTTACTTACAGATCATATAAATGAACATCTTTGCAATAGTATTACATATATACATGCTATGAGATTTAAAAGACAAGTTTCTATCCTATGAAAATGTTTGATTTATTATTAGTTGAAATAATAACTGCGGTGATAATATATGAAATGTGAATTGACATGAAACTGTATGGTCACTTGTAACTAACGAACTATGTGGATTAAAACTTGAAAGTCGATTATTCAAGTACTTTTACTACTAATTGTCGTATAATCTCCACTCCAAGCTTCAAATTCCAGACGATTGGATACTATTGAGTTGTTCAGATCATCTAAAGACTAAGAAGTGAATAGTGTAACTCTTCAATAGTTAGTATCTTTAATATTTTACTTTTCAAATGCTTCTATTTGATTAGCATAATTATTTCTATATGATTCGATTTTAGGAATCCCATACATACATATGTATTCATTACAGTGCATTAAAAGGGTTCAAAGAGAAAATTCATAATCTCTTTCCAAAAAGTCTCCTGGAATCCTTTCTCAGATATGAGTTATTAAATAGACAAGTAGAAAAAAATAACAAAATACTATATATTTAGCAATCGAAATATACAGTTTTTGTTTTTTTGTCGCCTTAAATGGCCTATACGTACATTGTGCCGCAAACACCCGCGGTATGTATGTATGTATGTATGTTTCTTTTTAAATATTATTTTTACAACTATAAAAAATTCATTATACATTAAAAAGTAAAGTTTAAGTCATCCAATAAATCTTCTTCTTCTTCTCCCTGCCCATTTCCCAATCACTCGGGGTCGGCGCAGTACATCTTCTGTACTGCTGAAAGGATTTGGCAAAAGTTTTACGACCGGCCGCCTGCCTGACGTCATCCCTCCTTGGGAATGGTCATCCAATAAATATTTGCAAATTAAAGATTAAATAATTAATCTTTCATTACAATTCTTTAAAAAAAACCATATCATAATATATTAATGGTGATTTAAATTTTAATGCTGACAACCCAAGCACGCATGCGCGCACTCCAACCACTGCAATACGGCGCCGTATGACAGATTCTTTCTCCTATTTTTACTTTTCTTTGTGAGTACGCTTGACACAAATTAAAAGCATGGTCAGGTAAGACTATTCCGGCCATTGTTTTTTTAACACATTAAAATGCAATATAAGGTTAGATATAGTGTATAAATTCGTATTGCAATCTCAACGTAGTTTGGTGAAAGTTAAAGGTACTTAAAATAAACTATACTAGGTACATTGATTTTTATCATATCATATATATATATATATATATATATATATATATATATACCCTCGACTTCGTCCGCACTGTTTGTGTCATGTCGATAAAGTTACATTTTAAATAGGTCTAAATATCAAGGAAATTCTTATACAGGTTTTCTATCTGTCAAGATTTTGGTTTATTGATTTACGTATAAACTCACCCTATGCGAATATCCTATATTTCCGGGGTTAAAATAAATCTGTGTTCTTCCAGAATACGGTGTAAGAAAGTTTCAAAAATCAAAATAGATAACGTAACTTTTCCTTTTATATAAAAGAACTAGCGTCTCACCCTCGCACCGCTCGGGTTCGTCCCTCTACTTACGTTTTAACATTTCATATAGATTTCACAGAGATGAGATATTTATATGTTGACCCGGATAGCCAGCTATCATAATACCAAATTTCATCAAAATTCCTCCAGTGGTTTTTCCGTGTTGAGGTCACAGACAGACAGACAGACATAAATTCTAATAAACTATAGATTCGGCCTCTGTATCGATAATAATGTCTATTTCAATAAGATTTAAAAAAAATATTTAATGTATAATATATTCGGTTTAGTTACCATTTTATTATAGGTATAGAATAAACAGAAAACCTTTTATAAGAATATTTATAAGAGCTTATTCAATACCTTAGATGTCATTCTCCAGCCCTCCAACTATCTCCATACAAAAAATTACACCAATCTGCCCCTGTTTCGATGCGAAAGAAAGACAAACAAACAAACAAACACACTTTGACATATTTTATAATATGAGTATGGATCATGGATGACATGACACAACAATAACAATTTCTTATTTTTTTCAAAAAAAGTTCAATTTAAGTTATATAAATTTTTATTATTTTTTAAAATATTACAAAGCCCCTACTTCTACATTATCTTCTTCATTATCCTCTTCATTCTCCTCTTCTTTGTCTTGTTCATTGTCTCCTTAATAATTATCTTCTTCATTTTCTTCCTCCTTTTCTTCTTCTACGTCTTCGTCTTCCTCTTTCTCTTCCTCTTTCTCTTCTTCTGTCTCTACGTTGTCTTCATGAGACTCGCTAGATGATGATGCCTCTAAGGATTCAGGATCCCAGTCAAAGTCAATTCCGGTTATTTCGTAGAACCAATCGAAGTAATGACCGGGACGAACGAAACCTGAAAAGTTATTTTAAACTTTAGTTTAAAATTATTTTAAACGTTTTCTGACAGAAATAGTCAATTGCATCTGCATATAAATAGTGAGATAGTTTTAAGTATAGATTAGTATATACTGAACGACAGTGTATACTAAGTCTATGGTTTTAAGTTTTGCATGCTATGTGAAGCTACTAAAAATAGTTTAATTATTTTGTAGTAAGTACTTAAACACAAAGATTTATTTTTTTGTAAAATAGTAAAATAGAGCCTGCGCCCTCTAATATTGAAAATACTGTTGAACTCATGACGGACTATATTGTGGCATTCATCTGGTACTAATTCGAGTACAAATTCTCAATAATTGACTCTATTTTAATGAAAAATCTTTTAATGATTAAGTATATACAGGAAGTACCTCTAAAACCTCTTAGGCGTAACTGAGGGGTAAGTAAGTAAGTAATTGGAAAAATGAGTGTCGCGGAAGTGAGAGTCAAATTTATTATTAATAATAAAAAAAAATTAATTTGATTTAATTTAATTGCGGTATCTGCCACAGCACCAAAAAAGTTTTCTTGAACCGCACGTAAAGGTAACACGCACTCATTTTTTTTATACAATTTCTTCAAATAATGTTACATTTTATCTGTGACTTACCAGCCGGGAAATCTGTGTGGCAACCAGTTCTGGAAACGAAGGAGGTGACGCCGACTTGAGTAGGTTTTCCATCTACATCTTCAATCACAAGAGGACCACCACTATCACCCTGTTATACATACATATGTACATATATCCTTAATATAATGTATCTATAATATCAATATGCTCTTCGAAATAAAATTAAAATATGAATGTAAAATATAGAGGGTCCATTTTGATGTAATTTGAAAACTAAATATTCAAATATTTTACATATAACCACAAATATAGAAAAAAATAGGCACGCCTTTAGCACACAAACGTTTTTTATTATTTTTTAAAAATTCCATCATTACAACAAAAAAAACAAGATACATTTTACATAAACAAGATTACTGGCCATATCATTATGTAATAGATTCTAATGTTTTTAAATGCTTGGCATTCGATCCCAAAATATTTTAAAAAGTAATTAAAAATTAAAAAAGTGAGCGAGATACTAAAAATTACCTGGCAAGTGGACTGGGAAGACACATTGTATGCGCTTGCGCAGATTGTAGTATCTGCGATTACGCTGCTGTTACTATAGGCAATCTTGCAGAATTCATTAGAATCACCGACCAGATATACCCAATTAAGATTTTGAGGACCGACACCTTAAATGGACAAATTTATCATCTGTATTATATGTACATAATATGAATACACCCAAACCTCATGTAAGAATAATTTGATATACTAATAGGTAAAGTTATTGTAATAGATAATAATAATGTCATTTTGATCTAATTCGGCCACAATGGCCAATCTTAATACCTAACCATTTACTTAGGACATATTGTAGAGCGCAAGTATGTGCGCAAACATAAAATGCACTCTATTTACATCACTCTCACATTCTAACAGGAAAATAATCCAACACAAGCCCAGGAATGACGACTTCACGTTCTCTCCGAGGTAGGGGCATGAAACATCGCCAAGTTCCCTACTCCGGAGTGTTACTGAGAATTTTAGAAATTCTCAATGAGTATACTTGGCCCGGCCTGGTTATCGAACCAAGGACCTCTTGGTAGCCATACATGCTAGCCACTACTACTACTAGATCATAAAAGCAGTTACTAGATATATTCCGAGTGTGATTCAGGCCATTATATTGTGTGTGAAAAGCTTAACTATAAAATCAATGAATCCATTCAGGATTATTATAAAACAAGATTGTTTTACATTATTATGTTTTCGAAATCAGTTTAACCATGCACGTTACTCGTGACATACAAGTGACAAGTTAATCTCCTTACCATTTGTCCAGTTCAAGCCCCACCCGCTGGCCTGCAGCCTGATACCGCTGTAGTCTCTGTTCTTATGCGCGCTGGGTTGCAGCCTTATTGGTTGAATCAAATCTGGAAATTTGAAAGTAATCATTAATTTCTTCATAGACATTGATTTTGTAATTTTCCATAGACAAATTAATTCCATAGTTTGTTTCTTTTTCATGATGTCAACATGTATTATCTTTTGAAATATGCCAAAAAACTTGGAAATACCATCTTTAGTCATATAGAGAAATGAGAAATAAATATCTAATTGTTTTCTCAACCTAAGGAAAGGTACGATCTTCATATTTTAACCAGACCTAAATAAAACACTAGTAGTTACGACGTTGATGATGATGATGTTCTCCTGGCCGATTCCGGCCACGGCGGCCAATCTCTTTGAGACTAGCCAACTGCGCAGGAGATGTTATAGTGCACAAGTGTACGCGCAGACACAACGTGCTCTCTCTATTCCTGTCACTCTCATGCTCCGGTGGGACGACCATTCGATACGACCAGTGAGAGTTAAGGCGCAGGACCGACGGCTTTACGTGCTCTGCCTCGGCACGGGGGTGAAACACCGCCAACTTCCCAACTCCGGGCTATTACTGAGGCTTACTATACAAAAAGACTCAATAACTAAACTTGGCCCGACCCGGGACTCGAATCCAGGACCTCCGGGCGTGCAGCCGTACATGCTAGCCACTACACTATCGAGGCAGTTTAGTCCACAGAAGTTTTTTCCACATAAGCCCCTATGATATGGGTACCAAATGAAAGGGATTGATAAGCGAAATACGATGAGACAAGTGACGTTATAGTAAATCCAATATGGTGGACGTCGTAAAATGTCGATTTATCATTATAATCTTTTATTTAGTTTCACCTGTACCGATATCTGTCTGTCTGTTTGTAATCAAATCTTGCAAGTTTTACTTTCAATATTATATCAAACACCTTTCAATATTTTTAACAATCAGGCGCAGGAAAGGGTGTAATTCGGTCAATAACTAAACTTGGCCCGACCCGGGACTCGAACCCAGGACCTCCGAGTGTGCAGCCGTACATGCTAGCCACTACACCACTGAGGCAGTTAAGTTACGACGTTACCCTGCGTAGGTATTAAATGTGTAGCTATCACCATCCTTCCTCATTTTTCCGTTTCCATTATGTTTATTACGTATTTATTAAACATTGACTTTCTAACACAAGACCTAACCTGAGACCTGTAGATTATTATTTAAGATTAAATTAAAAAAAAATCTAAAAATCTGTTACGATCATCAAATTTAGAATTTTCATGTAAATCTAAACAAAATCTAAGAACTTTTTAGTATTACTTTCAGGTGAAAAATACAGTATTTTGTACCTGAAAGGAATTTTAAATACCCCACAAGGCAAGCTGTAAACGTTGAGGTCAGTTTCGACCAGTAAAAATTAAAAAAACAGGCAAATAAACAGATTTTGAATAATAATATTACATAAGGAGTAAACTTACCCGTGTATTCCACATAACGGTCAAATCTGATGAGACCAATATCATCGGGCTGTACACCCGCAGCTATGTTGTCGTAACCTGGGTGGTTGATATGTTCAACAGTCTCGAAGATCATAGCTGGGCGAGTAAGAGCGACACTACCGGCGCGAACTACGAGTGTAATACGCCTATAAAGTAAATAGACTTAAAATAATATTTTTAATATAAATATAGTAAATGAGCCCTTGAAAAAGGCAGTGGTAGCCCAGTGGCAACGCGCTCGCTTGGGAAACCGAGTGAAGCGGGTTCAAATCCCGGGTCTCGCACCTCTGATATTTTCATGTGCGAATCATTTCTAACATAATTACCACATGCCTTACGGTGAAGGAAAACATCGTGAGGAAACCTGCATGTGTGAGAGAACTTAACAAGTTTTCGAAAGATATGTGAAGTCCGCCAACCCGCACTTGGCCAGCGTGGTGGACTATGGCCTGATTCCCCTCGTACTGAAGGGAGGCCCGTGCCCAGCAGTGGGACGTTAAAAAAAGGGCTGAATACATACATACAATTGAGCCCTTATGACGTCCCACTGCTGGATATGAACTTTCTCTTACTTTGAAAAGGTCCACCAAGTAGGCCAAATAATTACCGGATTTGATTAGTTTTTCGGTGAATTTATGTTTTCTCAGAAATACAGGTTTAAGTAATTCTAATTTATACAGGAGTAATTAGTATATTTCACAATAATCGGATGGCAAACATACATGCGTTACAAACGGACTAGAGACTTCCATCGCTTCACTCGGGTGCGTTCCTACTTACTTAACAGTAACTTACGTGTTACTCCAGGTCAAAGTTTATCATCCAAATCCAACCAGCCGTCATTGCGTGAAAGAGTAACACACAGACATACACACGCAACATGCACGCACGCATTCACGCACAAACGCACACATACATATACTCATACAAACTTTATAATTTTTAGTTGTAATCCAATATTTTAATTAAGCATATCTATATACTTCTAATTAATGATATATGTTAACTCACATAGCAGTACAATGAGCGGCAGTCATGGCCCACTCGTGGTGGATGAGGGTGGCGCCGCATGAGAACACGGTTCCTACGGGGCTGACCATGCGTAAAGATAGTTGGTAAGGAATCTGGCCTTCTTCGGCTTCCCATCCTGAGACGATTCTGCCGGATCTACCTGTGGAAATTTACGATGAGGGCCAGCTTAGACAAGATATCACTCTACTATTAAAAAATAGAAATTAAAAGAAATATATGAATAAAGTCATTATGATTGTTATTGGCATTATAACCCAACTTTTAAAATTATTAGCTTACGAGTTTAGACTACTTGTTTTACAGCGACTCGACTTAAATAGTTCCTAAGGGTCAAATTACGTGATGTTAATCTTTCCCAATAAATAGGCTACAAAACGCAAAAAGAATTGGAATCTGACTAGCAGTTCCAGATATAAGCACGTTTAAACAAACAAAAAATAGCTTTGTGATAATTATTAAATACTAGCGGAGTACACTCGCTTCGCTAGGGTTCACCTCTACAAAAACAAAAACGTGTCTATGCCACGGGAACCCTAAATTTTTCTAGGATAAAAAATAATCTATATTCTATTCCAGACTATCTATCCTTGTGCCAAAATTCATCCAGATCTGTTCAACCGTTCTGACGTAATTAAAACACTTCCAAGCATCTAAACTTTCACATTTATTATATTATTAGTAAGATTAGTAAGATAAGATAAACAATGTTTTTTCTAAGTAATAGAAGTAAAATAAAAAAAATCTATAAGAAAGATATACATACGTTTGTATATATATATATATATATATATATATATATATATATATATATATACATACATTATATATGTAACATATGTTGCCAATTACCTTGAGCATCTTCAGGGGTGGTGTATAACTGTGGACTTGGGAACGCGCTCACCTGAAAAAAAGAAAATAAAATAATATATTTAAAATTCAATTAGGTATGTATTTATTTTTATACCATTACACAGTTTGAATATTTAAATTTATAATTTAAAAAAATATATACTAAATTGTTATTTTGAAAGTTGTATAATATCACTATTTACTTAAAATCATTAAATATATGAGAATAACTATAGTATACATTTTAAGAAATTGACGTTTTTCTATTGCTACGAGTATATATATTTTAATCGAATTACAATTCGATTAAAATCTATGTTTATAAATTGTAATCGCTACGTATATATGTTTGAGTTATTTTATGTAAAAAAATAAATTATGTATTTGTTTAGTCATTTTATGACTTAAAGTTGGAAAACTTAATATTTCTCATACTGAGCAACAAAACTAGAGTGATTGAAATTCATTATACTTTATTGGTCGTAAACTATACATTTGCGAGTTTTTGAAGTGTCAATATGATATCAAGATGTTATAAAAATACATGTAGGAGTGACGCGCATGGTAAAAAAGTGTCCTAGAAACTAAAAAGGAAGAAGAGTTTATTGAGTAAATTCTTGACAAGCCCTGTACCAATTATTGTTTACATATTCTTTTCTGCGATCAATCTGCCAAGCACCGTGGCTTATCACCAACAACGAAATCCACGAGAACCTTATGGTGGATACTGTAGCTGCTGAAATAAAGAAATACAAAACCAAATATCGCGATCGACTAGAGAGGCATTAAAATGACTTTGCAACTGCCTTAACAAAAAGAAGTTACACAAAAAAACTGAAAAGGAATGATATCCTAGATTATTGAAAAAAAATGTATATAAAAAAATGTAGATGGCTCAGTGGAGTCGCGCTCTTACTGTAAAAAAAAACTTAGAACATATCTGCTAAAAGTAAATACTGCTTGCAGATTTCCTTATAAAACAAAAAAAATATTCTTTTCTTTAAAGCATGCCAGATGAACATAATATACGTCAATATCACATAAAATGGTAAGGAAACGATAAAGTTTTATGAATCATTAATAAATGATAATTAAATAATATTATCAGTACACATCTTAAAAATATGCCACATGGTATGTAAAATATCAAATTCAAACAATAAAACATTATACCATTTTCCCAAACCATACCAACAAAATATTATAGCATTTTCCATATTTATTTAGTTAATATTAAATTAACAAAATAGTGGGCGTCTGGAAAGAGGTGCGAAATATACAAAAATAAAAAAAATGAAATGTCCTCACGAATATTTAAAAAATATTATAATCATGAATAAAAATTTAAAAAGTTAGTCATTAAAAGGTTAGGTATTAGTTCCATTATGGCAGAATGGATTGCGTCTGTTAACGCAACTATAAGCCAATAAAAAAAATGTTCAATTAAGAAACAGATGCACCCCCTTGAAAACCTTTCTGCCGGCGCCGTTAGAACTGGAAGTCGCTAGGACTTAACATCGCTTCGCTTGGGTGCGTACGCAGATTTTGTTCACAATTTCATGGGTTTTAATTTTTTTTTGCGCGGAACCCTAATTCTTTTTCCAAAAAAAAAGTAGCCTCTAGAAGTTACTCCTTATAACATCAGCTATCTCCCAGTGAAAGTCCCGTCAAAATCAATCCAGAGACAGACAGACAAACAAAAATTTTAAAAATTGTGTTTTGCGTATTATTACGTATACCTATATTTTCATATGCATTTAGTAAAAATCTGTTATCTAGACATTACAAAAAAACACTTCAATTTTATTTATCTGTACAGATAGATATATAAAACCTATTATCCTTGGCTTAAAAACAATTTGTTAATAATTAATCGTTTAACATCGATCGATTGAAAACCAATTGCATGTATAAAATTTTATATAAGAATTCTAAGTTATTATATTGATAGATAATGAGAACTAGTTTGTTAATCATTTAGGACATCTTCAAGTTAATATTCATTATTTATTTATATCAGCTCTTAAATAAAAAAATCTACTAACTATCGTATCGTATCGAAAAAGTAATATATTAAAACGTGGCACACATGAAATATCTGAAGAATCTCAAAATAGATAAAAGCTGGATAATATTGCTCTATATTAAAGAGTAAAGTGGTCTAGATACTTATATAGGTCTTTTATTAATGTGGGTACGACAGAAGACAGATCATGCATAGGATGGATGATTCGTAGTACGTCATGTTTTAGCACTCTTTACTCACTCAATTACTTTAGGCGACCCATTGAGATTTTTTTAGGACATAGATAAACACAGGAAAATTCCAGTTAGATAACTACCACTAAAATCTATTTTAGTCCCTCATGAGTCATACAATGGTTTACAACGTAAGTATATTACATACGAGTACTAGCAACTCACCCTCGCTTCGCTCGGGTTCGTCCCTAGGTTGGTTCCACATACAAATTTTCGTCCCCATTTTCAACCCCTTAGAGGATGATTTCCCGGATAAAAAGTATTTTATGTTCTTCCCCGAGTTTCAAACTATCTTCTTACAAAATTTCATCTAAATCGGTTCAGTAGATCCAGAGATTACCCCCTACAACGTCAAAAATTCACAAACTTTACTTCTTTATAATATTAGTATAGATTATTTAAACTTGATCAAAATGCAAATTATTCAATCAAAATATAAATGATTCAAATAGACTTAAAAATACTTGTAAATTGTCAATTATTGTATATTACATTTAAATTAAATGTTTGTATTTTAATTTCTTGGTAAGCTACCATCGGCTCAGAGAGTAGTTTTGCTGAGAAGAGCCGTACTAGTTGCAGATTTAACCAACTTTCAAAAAGCAGAAGGTTAAATTATTTTCGTCTGTATGTATTCTTTTGATATAAATACAATATTTGTTTTAAAAAACTGTAAACAAATTTTTTTTTTGCTTATCCTACGGAATTATCAACTAAAATAACCTCACACATTTATATCTGCAAAATATTAGATGACGAAAAAATATGCGTTGCTCAATACATATATTTATTTTTTATTTTTATTTAAATTGTTTAGTGGCAAGCTTAAAATAAAGGCAGTGATAGCCCAGTGGTAACGCGCTCGCTTGGGAAACTGAGTGAAGCGGTTCAAATCCCGGGTCTCGCACCTCTGATATTTTCATATGTGAATCATTTCCTACATGATTACCACTTGTCTTAACGGTGAAGGAAAACATGGTGAAGGAACCTGCATGTTTCTGAGAGAACCTAGCAAGTTTTCAAAAGACGTGTGAAGTCCAGCAACCTGCACTTAGCCAGCGTGGTGGACTATGGCCTGATTCCCCTCGTACTGCAGGGAAGCCCGTGCCAAAAGCTTAAAATCTACTTATTACTTTATTTTACACCTTAAAGATCTATGATGCAACAAGAAATCTAAAAACCTGACTAACAATTCTGGAGATGACAAATACAAACAATTTTAACCTTCTTCTAATACGAGTAATTAAATCGTATCAATTTGAGTTAATAAAAAAAATTGCATGCCTGAAAATATTGCATGGCATATTTTTGTAGCTTCCCAAATTAGAACAATTTAAAATTCCAAAAAAACTTGAAGTGTATGTTGATCGAAGTCAATTAGTATTCCATTTTAATTTTGAAGTAATCAAATTATTTCCTATTTATATTAATATTATTAAAGACATTTTTAATTATATAAATTATTTTCTTATGTATAATTTGAAGACCTCGTAAGCCAGCTTAACATGTAGGAAAGTTAAAATAGATAAAATTTAACATACCCAAGACACAGCTACGCAAAATACTATTACACCCCACATCGCCATTTTCATAATAACTGCTCATCACCACAGACTTATGTATTTAAGTTAGTGGTAGTGGTATTATTTGATAAAGAAATCAGATTAACTGATAATATTATGTTAGCTAATAATTTATATCGTCTTTGACATATTGAACGTTATTCAATCGAATTTATCAAGGAATCTATTTAATTATCCTTGATTGTGTTATTATTTATCTTTTTTCTATATCATCAGTAATTATTGCCTATAATACATTTTATATTTATAGCATAAGCTTATAATTATAGATTTGATTTTGAATCATGGGAATAATTTTTTTATCAATGCCAAGATTGCTCTATTTGTTTAAAATTGCACTGTTACTAAGTACTGTATAATGCTCTTAGTGGGAGATTTATACAGGGTCATTTTTAATTTACTGAAAACCTTTTGGGAATATACCATTTACATCATAACAGCAACATCTCTAACGAGAAAAAATAATATTTCAAAAAATTTTATTTTCATACAAAAATAAAATTATTTTTTTTGCACCTTCTAAACTTTAAAGTTCTAGCATCTGGCCAAGTTTAAATGAGGCTTCCTACACCCCTCCACTCCTCCCCTCCACTCCTCCCCCTCCACTCCTCCCCCTCCACTCCTCCCCCTCCACTCCTCCCCCTCCACTCCTCCCCCTCCACTCCTCCCCCTCCACTCCTCCCCCTCCACTCCTCCCCCTCCACCGGACACGCACTTTCTCTTGCTAATGCTGGACTATTACCGTTTAGAAGGTGCAATAAAAATATTTTTATTTTTGTAAAATTTAAGATATTTTTTTTTTTCTTACAGATGTTGTGGTTATGATGTAAATAGTGTACATATTTCCAAAAGGTTTTCAGTAAATTAAAAATGACCCTGTATATCGCACTGACAAATGCTTTCTTTACTTTAGAAAACTCTGACTTAAGTCATGTTTGACCAAATCTTTAGTTAGGGCCTTCTTTATTATGACGGCAGTAATTTAGTTATCATTTTCTTGACTTTTAAAATTAACGAATGGAATAGTTCTATATAGAATATTTTAACACATTTCTTTGTTTTTTTCATTTTTATAAAAATATATATGTTAATAAAATAAATATATATCTATTATTTTGCAAATTATGACAAAATAGTTTTCGAAATTGTTAGTAGATACTCGTATCAGATAAGAATGAGAGATATGTTACCCGAATGACCAGTGGCCGATAACATTTTTAATGACTGCTCTAGTGCATTCTTTTAGTTTTCCTCTGAATTTCATATGTGTAAGTGAGACGAATATATATATCGTATGTAGCTATGGAAATTTAGAACCCTATACAACCAGTCCTAAAGCGAGACAGAAGGAGTTATGATAGTTCATTTCATAGAATGAAAATTGCAAAACATATCACCTGGCTATTCTGGATGCCTAGTAGCTCGTGTTATGGTTTAAACGTGACTTGACACGGTTATATTTTGCGGACCAGCCGATGTATGAATAATAAATAATCTATACACATAATAAAATTGTAACTAAGCCGAATCTGTACATTAAATATTTTTTGGAAAATCTTATTGAAATATTTTTATATATATTATCGATACAGAGGCCGAATTCATAGATTTTAGAATTTTTGTCTGTCTGTTACCGCATCACTGAAAAACCAGTGGAGGGATTTTGATGAAATTTGGTATGATGGTAGCTGGTTATCCGGGTCAATATATAGGATTCTTTTTACCGCAGGAAAATATCTCATTTCTGAGAAAAAATACAAGAACTGCACTGTAAGATTATACTAAAATATTATGTAAAACCTAAGAATTAGGTTTTTAGTCATCTGAATGCGGGCGGAGCCGCGGGCAATGCTAGTTTTATGATAAAACTAGCGACTTACCCTGGCTTCGCTCGGGGGTCTCAAGGTACACGGGTTTTGTTCACAATTTCATGGGTTTTAATCACATACAGGTTAAACACATAACCCTCCTTTGGGCTTCTCTGCAGTCGGGTCAAAACGTCATTTACTTTAGTTTTTTCTAATAGCATTTTCCAGGACTAAGACATTTTATTCATAAACAAACTGTGGTTTTTAAATCATAATATTGCATAAATTGTTCAAATTTGATTTGAACAATCACACAATTTTAGATTTGAACCTTGATTACTCGTTCAATACGCTTTGAAATTTCCACTACTCTTGGTATCAAAATATCCAAATAAAATCTTCTACCTCTTTATGGTAGCCTAGTAGCCGATGTTTTGGTTTAAACGTGACCTGGTAGATGTTTTTATTACATGTGATGTAAACAAGGATTTCTTTATTATATAGGTAATTAATATCTTAAATAATCAACGCGCTAATCTCAGAAACGACATATCAAAGAACCATTGAAATGTTCCTTTTTCAACCGATTTCCAATTCCAAAAAGGAGGAGGAGTAAATTAAAAAAAATATTTATTATCACAAATGTAGACAGTATCAATCAGTACCTTTCTCTATTTCCATATTTTATATATTAATATGTATGTATATGGATCATGAACGAATTAACCACTGGACTAGACATATAAGCGGACGTACCTTTATCGGTCTTCTCAGTAACCAGGAGATTTTAGGCTTGGTCATTTGTTTTTTGCGTCAGTCTCAAGCACTTATTTGTCAACAAAACATCTCCCAAAAATGACTAAATGTTCTGTTAAATGATGTAAAAACTATAACGGCGGAAGCAGCAGTATTTCTTTTCACTTGTAAAAACATTATTTTATTACATTTATTGTTATTTATCACACAATTTAATTAAATGTAAAATAAAATGTCATATTATCCAACTATGTTAAATATAGTCGATTTTTCTCTGTATTGTTGACATCTGACAACCATCATAAAATGGCTGGATTATACCATTCAAAACAAATGACAAAACTGTCGAGCGAGTCCATTTGACATCGACTAGAGCTTGACAAGGTCGAAAAATATATCGATATTTGACGAAATAACTAAACGAATTGTGTTATTTGTTTAACAGTTTAATAACATAAAATACTTTTACCACAGTATCCTACAATCTGATGACAATAAATTTATAAAAATATTTTCTAAATCAAATAAAAATATATATGCAAAAATTATGCTTAGTATGTGTACTTAATTTTTTATTTTATTTTATTCCACATTTATATACTTTGGAATATTATTCCATTGTAATAATAATAAAGATAATTTTATTTCTATACATAAATTACACAAAATCAAACAATAATCTTTTAGCACTAAACTTCTGGGTTGGCGATTTGTAATAAAACACTTTACCACTTGCACTAATTATTTCACTTTCACGATCCAACACTCACTTTAATTTGCAATCACTTTTTCTTTTTCCTAATTTCACAAATGTTTATTAAGAACTAGGCAATATTAGGACAGTGTCACATTTTTATAACTACCCGAGACAATCAATTGCCAATTAAAATAGTTCAATAACAGAATCAACAAAATCACTTTATTTAATTAAATTAGCTTAATATTTTTTTAATCTTTACAAAATAATATTTATTATATATTAATGGAATATATACCCGATATTCATTTGTTTATTAACATTATTATAGGCCAACAGAATGTTGCCATCAATGCCATCGTATTTATATAAATCAAATAAAAAAATTATTATTATTTGACACATTATTATTGCCTCTTTAATTCATTTATTTTAATTTATTAAAATTAAAAGAAGAAGAATAAATTAAAAGATGTAAAATATGATGACTATGCTAACCAATGTCTAAAATTTCATTCATTGGTTCATCGATATATGTATTTTATCGATTACGTTCAAGCACTAAAAATATTGTATTGTGTATCAGTGTTTATAATAATGTAATAAAATCTTTGTGTGCGTTATGCGTCACTTGGTTGAACTAGTTTTCATACATTTGTATTTTATGTCAGGTCCAGTCTCTAATTCGTTCATGATATGTATATATCTATGTATGTATACGTAGTCTTTACATTAGGTATTATATATGTATAGTATTATATATTTTTATATGTAATATATGTATGTATATATGTATGTATGTATAAGTGATTATTATTACCTTTATTTCTAGTATATATTTAGTAATTTTGCTTGCACTATATTGCCCGCTGACATCTTCTTCCACAACCAGGGGTTGACTGGAAGAGATCTCTTTCAGAGATAAGTCGACCTTTGTGAACTATATTTACTTTGTAATTTTTTTCTGTATCATATTTTAAGTGCAATAAAGAGGTTCTCAATTCGTCGGAATCTTTTTTTTTAATGTATATTCACCGATTACTCGAAGACGCCTGAACCGATTTGAAAATATTTTTTTTTAAAAGGTGCACTTCCCAGGTGTTCCCATATAAATTTAATCGAAATCGGTCGAGCGGTTTTTTTTTAATCGACAATAAATATTTTTTTTAAATAAATTGTTTAATCGAATATGTTATTAAAAAACTTTGTTCTAACAAATTACCTGCTGTTACGTCTACACTAAAAATGCAAAAATAAAAACTTTTTAGCAAAAAATAAAACCGAGTTCCAGTTGTAGGCTGGCACAGACTTCGAAAATATCTGATTAGGTATCTATTCTCAATGAAAACCTCGGTTTAGTTATTTTTTACATTTTAGTGCCTGGAAGTCGGTTCTATTTTTTGTTAAAAAGTTTTTTGGAGGAAGTACTCTTCTAATCAAAATACCCCGACGACAAAAAAATCTATAAAGTCGTAAAACTTGTATACCAAATTTCGTCCAGATCGGTTGTAAAATACGATCTTTAGAGGTATACCAACAAACTGACAGAGTCATTTGCCAGATTTGAAGCTGGTTGGCACGTTTCGCTCGCACGGTCAACTAGTGTGCGTTGTACGTGCATATGCAGAATAAATATTATTGTTGCCCATAAAATGGACTTCTACGTCAAAATAAATACATATTATTTTATTATATATTTAACGTAAAATTATTAAAGTATAAAATATTTTTTGTGTTGTGCTTATGTTCCTGCAACTAGAAATAAAGCTAAAAATTCATTTATTAATGGAGGTTGTGCCCAGTATAATCAACTTTTTATAAATTATGACATATTTCATCTCTCTCTTAACAAATTTAAATATTATTATTATTAACTAGTTTAATTAAGTAATTTATTATTAATTTATTGTTTCATTATGGTCTCTCTCTGTCTTTTTATTTTTTAATTTATTAGATTTTGTTTTATTTAATATTATTAATTATTAATTCAATTGTATTTTGCATCTTCTCTCCTAACTTTGATATATGTATTTCTGTAACATTGAAAACTGTTATTGGTTAAGTATTATTAATGATTTTTTATTAATTTTTTTTGTTACCTAATACCGTTTGTTTCCAAAATAAATAAATAAATAAAATAAATACCTAATCCAAGAAAAAATAATAAAAAAAAATACTTTAATTTCCGATCCCAGAACCCCAGCTCTTAAATCATAATACTTTTCATACGGATCCATAATTTTCTACTCTTCAAAACAACTAAGGATATAATAGTGAAATATAGTGCATTCACTCATTCTGAATGCATTTTATACGTAAGAGAGAGACGGAGATAGTTTAAGGGGATGAAAATGCATTGGTCCCTACAGCCTTAGTGGAAAAGAGACAGATGCACTCAGCATTTAACGAAAAGTTTTCATATCTCCTTTGTAGTTTTGACAGCCTAGTACTTCATGTTTTGGTTAGAAGGTGACGCCAAAAACCAACCAACCAACCCATGATCCGTCGGATGTCTTTTTTAATTTAAACTAGCATTGCCCGCGGCTCCGCCCGCGTTCAGATGACCACAACCCAAATTCTTAGGTTTTACATATTAGTATACTCTTACATTGCAGTTTTTGTATTTTTTCTCAGAAATGAGACATTTTCCCGCTATAAAAAGTATCCTGTATGTTGACCCGGATAATCAGCTATCTCTATACCAAATTTCATCATAATCCCTCCAGTAGTTTTTCTGCGATTCGGTAACAGACAGACAGACAGACAAAAATTCTAAAAACTACAGATTTGGCCTCTGTATCGATAATAATGTCTATTTCAATAAGATTTTCCAAAAAATATTTAAAGTACAGATTCGGCTCAGTTACAATTTTTTTATATGTATAGATTAATATTCCTCGAAAACAAGTTATTATACATTGAACGAAATGTAATTTGATTGTTGTATGTTGTAAATTCATACACTCTTTTTCACTACTTATTTTGTTTTCAAGGCTCTTAAACAGAAGGTTTGTGAATGTTTTGCGTTATCTATATAGCTATACTAGCGTCTCATCCTCGCTCCACTTAGGTTCATCCCTACTTACGTTTTAACGTTTAGTATAGATTTCTCAGAGATGAAATATTTTCTTGCAGTAAAAAGGTATCACCATACCAAATTTCACCAAAATCCCTCCAGTGGTTTTTCCGTAATGCGGTAACAGACAGACAGACAAAAATTCTAAAAGCTATAGATTCGGCCTCTGTAGTCTGTATCGATAATGTGTATTTCAATAAGATTTTCCAAAAAATATTTAATGTACATATTCGGCTTAGTTACAATTTTATTATATGTACAGATATCATATCTACATAGTTGTGATTTTCATAATACTTTTATTTTAATGAAACGCACGCACGCACGCACGCACGCACGCACGCACGCACGCACGCACGCATGAACGCACGCACGCGCGCACGCACACACACACACACACACACACACACACACACACACACACACACACACACACACACATAATCGATTTTCTGAAGCAAAGGCTTTTAATGACTTTTGATTATTTGATATTGCCAAATCACATCTTAACACGAGATGTGACATTTTTTGACCAATACAAAGCACCTTTGAATAAGCGGAAATACAAAATTCGAATCAAAGCCGCCTGTATCACACTGGTACAATGAAGAATATCACCAACTTTTGATTTTTATCTTACAATAAACTCTATTAAAATGAATAAATACCGTAGAATTATTTTTTTTGATACGTCGATCACTCTCTATTCCTGTCACTCTCATACTCCGGTGAGACAACCACTCTACACGACCGGTGAGAGCTAAGGCGCACGACCGACGGCTTTACGTGCTCTCCGAGGCACGGGGGTGAAACACCGCCAACTTCCCAACTCCGGGCTATTACTGAGATTTACTATACAGAAAGACTCAATAACTAAACTTGGCCTGACCCAGGACTGGAACCCAGGACCTCCGGGTGTGGAGCCGTACATACTAGCCACTACACCACCGAGGCAGTTTGTTATACATATATGTGTAGTGTATCAACTATCTGGTATTCATAACCAAAGCCTCGTAGCTTACCTTGAAAGTAGATAGTGCAGTGTGTTAATTTCGCAACATATTTATTTATTGACCAGCGACTCATCCTCACTTCGCTCGGATTCGTCCCGAGGGGATGCTTTAAATTGATATAACATTTTTATTTATGAACCGATTACATGAATTAACCGAAATAAAACAACTATACTAAATGGTAAGTGAAGCTTACCACAATATATTAGTGAAAACCACACCCAAATCGGTTAAGCCTTTTCTGAGAGTAGTGCGCACAAACTCACAGACAAAAATTCTATAAATCATACTTTTGGATTCTATTGTGATAATACATAAAAATTTCGCAAGTCTAAAAACTTTTTGGTAACACTAATAAATAAAACACATACTCGTACTATAAGTCTCCACTTCAACCACATCTCATCTTATATATTTCGCATTTTATCTATACTCTTTACTATTCCGTTCTATTAGAAATCTTCTATTTGTTCTCCTTTTACTGTTTCAGAAAGTTGAATTGATTCGGGATCCCAGTCGACATCTATTCCGGTTACATCTTGAATCCAATCGAGATAATGACCAGGACGGACGAAACCTAAAAAATAAACAAAATATTCAGTCCTTTTAGTGATGTACACTATAATCCCATTGTATTCAGCCCATTTTAACGTCCCACTGCTGGGCACGGGCCTCCCTTCAGTACGAGGGGGATCAGGCCATAGTCCACCACGCTGGCCAAGTGCGGGTTGGCGGACTTCACATGTCTTTCGAAAACTTGCTAAGTTCTCTCAGACATGCAGGTTTCCTCACGATGTTTTACTTGTTAAGACAAGTGGTAATCATGTTGGAAATAATTCGCACATGAAAATATCAGAGGTGCGAGACCCGGGATTTGAACTCGCTTCACTCGGTTTCCCAAGCGAGCGCGTTACCACTGGGCTACCACTGCCTTCACATTATTTTAGATAAACGCCCAATGTTAGGAGAATGGACTAGTCTGCAATAAACAACTGGGATGCTTAATGCACTTTTTTAACATTATGAAATACATTTACGCATACTACCTGTACTACAAGTGGTTATGTAAAAATTCACCGGCTAAAAAAGCCAGTAATACCCACTAAGCCCAAATGATACCCGGTCAACATTACCGGTTGTAGGACTCTGTCAAGCTTGAGGAGTCTGACTGGATGGGTACCACCCCCTTATACATTTCACCCGCCAAGCAACAATGATTGCATTGTTGTGTTCCGGTTTGAAGGATAAGGTAACCAGCGCAATTACAGGCAAGAGGCATATCATCTTAGTCCTCGCAGTGATAACGTACCGGCGGTTCTGCAGTTCTGTTACGTAAAACCTAAGTGCATTAACCGTAGATGTTATGGGCGACAAGTACCGCTTTCAATCAGGTGGGCTGTCTGCTCGTTTATCACTGAGTACCATAAATAAACATCCCCATCATATTGGAATCCGCAGCTTCACACTTAACTGAACTATCGAGGCAGACCACAGCAAAAAGGGTGTTGCTCTCATTGTCCACTCTGCCATTATTTCTGCTGCTATAAAATCTAAAAACACCTTAAACTAGACTCGAACCCAGAGTTATGTTTCACTACCTAATTAGTATTTAAGAATTCACGTATCATATTAATTTGATTTTATAGCTTACCAGCAGGTTCCGGTGTGTGGCAGCCATGTCTTGAAACGAAAGAGATGATTCCTACTAGTGTGGGTTTTCCGTCCTCGTCTGTCATGACTAGTGGGCCGCCGCTGTCACCCTGTTACATATTTTTGAAGTTATACTTCTTTTGGGACGTTTGGAAAAAAATATAAGAGTAAAATTTTTACGATGCACACTGACAGCCAAAAAGCGACATGATGAAGTTAGCTGATAACTGTTAGTTGCCACGGTAACCGTTGTTATTGTCTGACATATCTGTCATGATATATAATATTATTATATTCTTACTTTATTTTATTGATATAAATATATGATTGTAATATGCCTAATATGCCTTATTTAATTATTTTATCAATTTATTATTTCTTTTACATACGGGATGAAATCTTTAGCTATTTTTGTTCTGTTACGCCAAAGAAGTATAATTTTTACGTGCGTAGAGAAGTACACACATACACTTTTTTTACTGTTATAGCTGTGGCAAGATGTCAGTAATTTGCTTATGCATTGAAATTTTCATTACATGAACCTAGTATAATAAATATTACCAATATGATCTGTGCATGAAAGTATGCCGGACACTCTTTCTTTCCATGGAATTTTAAACATCAGACTCGTATATTGATGTATCAAAAAGTAAGTATATTCATAAATCCATAGATTTTTCTTGCAAACTTAGATGGAACTTGTTGTTAAATAGGAAGATAGATCTCTTTAGAAATGCATTGTAAAAAATTACTGAGAACATAATATAACACTAATCTAAAAAAAAGTAAATGAAATCGTAAATTTCCAAAATTTCTTTACCGGTTGCTTTGAAATTTGAACACATTTTTTTATAAATATTTTTACATGAATTTAAGCAGAGGACAATAAAATTTCATTTAGCTGCAACTCTCCAATAGATCGCGCTTATTGATTATCTAATATATTTAAACGAGCAATTCTTGTATATATATGAATTTATAATATGAATCTCGGAAACGGTTCCAATGACTTTCATGAAATTTAGTACACAGGGTGTTTCGGGGGCGGTAAATCGATCTAGATTAGTCTTATGTCTGAGAAAGCACGCGTTTTCGAGTTTTCATGCAGTTTTCTTTTGCATTATTCCACGCAAAATATTATGTTCGATAATTTCGCACGCTCGGATATATGAATCATGGTCGAGCGACCAAGGCGCAAGGTTGTATGTGTCCAGGTTCGAATCCTGGTCGGA